AACCAAGGTCTGCATTGGTTTGTCAGAACAATGTTCTATTTTCAGTTGTTTTACCTGCATTTTACGATTGTGTTTTGGTTTGCACTGATTCTGCATTAAATTACTTTGCTTGCTGTAGGTAATGCTGGCGTCAGTGACCGAAGGTTTTATATAAGGAGGGAAATGTTGCGCTATTGTCAACTTTGCGTAGTATCTAACGGGAAAATAATAATATTATTATTACTTCACACTCACTGTAACCATGGAGGTAAAAATTCTCTTTTTACCTATATGCTCTAACCATGGAGGTAAAAAAAGAGAGAGAGTCACAGCCAAAATAATCCTTCTAAACTTCTTTTGTTTTAGCCAAGTTTAATCCTATAATTGCTGTAACCATCTTTGGTGACTCCGCCGAGTAGTCGTTTTGCTCCGCTAAGTTGTCACCGGTAGTGTTATTGGAAGGCTAAATAGTAACATTGCTCTGCTTCGGAGAATGAAACCATTTTTGCCAATGTACTCTAAAAATGTTTTTAATAAATACATATATTTTATCCTACTCAAATTAATCTCATTTGTTGGGAAATCACCATTCACAATACACCGTATAACGTGCATTGAAATGCATATGCGATGAAAGATACAATGCTTCAACTGAAGAGTTTTTGAAAAAGTGTTCAATGAAAAGGTGATATGTTGTACACATGTTTAAAAAAATCTTGTCGCACCACATATGGTCGGTGAAATAAAACGAAAAACGATATAAACCAGTGTAGGGTTACTATGGGATTTGTAATTCGTAGCTTGGCACGAACTGTGGTTATTCCCGGTATTGAATACAGGGTGAATAGTCTGTGTAAGGGTCGGCTCATTTATCGGCAAGTCCAATTCATTCCGTCTGTACTTTATCTTTCTTTTATATCAATGAACACGTTGGCTTCGGATTGATCAACCAATCAAACCAAAGGGTCTACAACGGGAGAGTGGGAATATTTAACAAACATGTAGCCGACTTGTAAGAAGAAACATTTCGTATCTAATGTAACGCATAATGTTATTGGTTCACTTTACACATTTGGAGATACCCCTCTACACAAGAGTGGATTAATCCATCAACATTTGCATAATAATTTAGATATAAGGGCATGTTCTACGTCAGATATCTTCACTTCTCATCTTGTATTAACTGTCGTTTTATCCATATCGCCTATATCTCATCCAGCAACATGGCCTTTGCAGGGAAATGGATCTTCGTGAAAAATGAGAAGATGAGGGAGTTTGCTGTTGCTGCCGGAGCTCCAGCAGAGAAAGTGGACCAAATGATTGATGTGCCGATAACAGTGGAATGCACCAGAGATGGCGACTACTATCTGATGTCTTTCACTGGACCCAAGAAAACTGTCGTACAGAAGTTCAGACCAGGCGAACCATTCACTGAAGAAATTGGGCCTTTCGGCATGACGAGAGTGGCTATTGCTAAAGTGGAAGGTAACACGATGGCCATCATGGGAATCAACGAAGGCGAAGCAGTGGAAAAGAGAGAAGTAACCGGCGACGAACTGATTTTTACATTCATCAAACCTGGTGTTCCATGTATTGCTAAGCGCTACCTGCGAAGAGCTTGAAGATACTTTGCTTGAAATAACTCCGTGGCATCATCCAGCGATCGTCGACTATACTGAAATTCCTACAACGACAACATCGTTAATGACAACATTTGTTAATGAGACAACATCGTACATATATTAACTGAATGATTTTATGCATATCTGTCGCATTTACTTGGTGTTTTTTTTAATTTCATCTGTACACAATCTGATTAAAATCTGATGTAGTGTACGGGCTTTAATTATTTTGGCTATAAACTTATTTTAATTTTATTTTTTATTATATTTGTTATTAATGCCCTTTTATTTTACTTTGATTTTGAGATTTTTTTTTAATTCCGCCCTACCTACATCTGATCCGACGCCTATGTAAGTCCCGTTCAAATCTCGCGTAAGTAACAGCCAATCACAGCCCCGCTTTTATACAGGCTGTCGGTTGCTTACTTTTCAGTGTAGCGATACTCTACGGGCAATCTTTCTGTACATTATATTTTGCCCACTTGAATAAACCTTGAATAGAAAATTACTAGTATATTTTATTTGCAAAAGAAATTTCACAGCATTTTACAATTTTTGTCATTACATTG